GGAGTTATAGTCCATCCCTCTTGATAGGCTGGGGGATTCTGGGAGTTGGAATCCACCCCTCTCAAAGCATGCTGGCTGGGGGATTCTGGGAGTTGAAGTCCCACCCATTTCAAGGCCTTCTGGCTGGGGAATTCTGGGAGTTAAAGTCCACCCATCTTAAAGTATGGCTGTCTAGGGAATTCTGGGAGTTGGAGTCCACCCATCTCAAAGCATGCTGGCTGGGGAATTCTGGGAGTTGGAGTCCGCCCATCTCAAAGCATGCTGGCTGAGGGATTCTGGGAGTAGGAGTCCCACCCATCTCAAAGCATGCTGGCTGGGGAATTCTGGGAGTTGGAATCCACCCATCTTAAAGCATGCTGGCTGGGGAATTCTGGGAGTTATAGTCCATCCCTCTTGATTGGCTGGGGAATTCTGGGAATTGAAGTCCGTCCTCCGCTGAGGACGGCTGCTCTATCCTACTCTATACTCCTCTCTTCCCTTTTCCTCCCTACAGGTTGTCCCCGTAGCCGCCCGGCTCCTTTTAGAAATGTTCTCCGGGGAACTCTCCTGGTCGGCCGACAGCGTCCGCTTGCAGATTTCGCACCCGGATCTCAAAGACAAAATGGTCCTGCAATTCAAAGAACTTCACCAGCTCTGGCAAATGCAGCAGAACATGCCGGAGGGGGCTCCCAGCAGCTGGGAAATGCAGACCGGGGGCAACGGGATGCAGCAGTGAGACGCCGAGAGCATCCCCCAAGACCCACCCCACCCGGTGCCGTTCGGACACCATCCCACCGGGGCGTGAAAAGTCCGGCAAGGTCTGCCCCACAGAGCCATTCCTGGGGAAGGGGGCTTTCTTGGCACAGCCCAGCTTCCGGCTTTTGATGACCTCCGGAGCACGTTTTTAAGAGAAGCACTGGTGGGCGCCCCAGAGGTCACTTAAGAGGAGTTGGGCCGGCCAGTTTCTCCTGCTGCAAAGTAAAAGAAGCGGTGACGCATCGCTTGGCGGTATCTGCGTGAAATGGAAAACTTGAACTCGGAACCGAAGCGGGCTCAGTTCGAAAGAAAGGCGCTCGGCTTCTTGCCAGGATGGGCGCCCCTCAAAAAACAAAAAAACGGATTGAAGTTTGGGGTTGCTGAAGGTTTGTTGGTTTGGGGCCCGGAGAAGGACAATCTTGCAGCTGATATAAGGACCCTCCCGTCTTTTGAGCCCACTCCCACCCCCCATTGCAACAAGGAGGAAACATGGAAGCCTCCGTGACGTCAGTGTTTTAAATTTGAAACGGAATATCATGCAGGATGGAGACGTTGGCCTGGGGAACGTGACAAGGTTGCACCCAACTTTGAAACTCAGAGAACCCTGATTAAAACCTGCCCCAATTCAGACCTTTTTAAAAAAAAATTTCCCAAAGCAATGGCTGTGTTCTTGAAGTTCGATTTTAAAAAGTGTTCCACAAAACCTGGGACCTCCGAGGTCTTCTAGACCAACCCCATTGCTCGAGCAAGGGACCTTGGGCCCTTCTGGACAACGGCTTGTCTTCGAGGCTCATCCTCCTATCCCAACCATATTTTTGGAACCCTTTTCCAAGAGGTTCTGGTTTAAGAGTAGGGTTGAGTGCGCAGGTGTGACAACCGGTTTGGTGAGTGTGTGCTTTGTGCGTGCGGTGTTTGAAAATTGGCCATTTTCAGCTCTTTAACACTTAGGGTCAACTCATAAAACGTTTTGTGTACACATTTTATAGTTGACAACAGAAAGAAGGGAAGAATTTCAGAGCAGGCGGCAGTGTGGAATCGAAAGTACATTCCATTCATACTTTCTTCAGAGACTGATTAGATGATTGAAGCTTCTCCCGTGCAAAAATCTAATTGGAGAGCATGATTGATGACTCTTGGCTATGGACGTTTTTTTCATTGGGTGATACACACAGGGGGGTGAGGGGAAAAGCAGGGTGATGGTGAGTTACGTATCTCAGAGTTGGCTATGCCCAGGTTAGTGCCGGATGTAGAATGTTAATTAAATCCTCTTTAGTTTTGGGAGTGTGGCTCGAGGCTCAGGATTTAATTGGAGTAACTGCCGGAATCCTGACACTTAACCTTCCGCTGCAGCCCCGGTGAGTAAAACAGCTGAGCCATGGCAATTCGCTGTGTTGCGCAAATCAGCTGGGCTGCAAAACACGGAAATATAGGAAAGACTAGGGAAGGGGCAGGTGGACGAAGCCAACTAATCACTGGAACAACCGGTTCGTCCGAACCGGTCTGAACCGTCTGAATCCCACCCATGGTTTGAGTGTCTACTTCAGTAATGGCGTAGTAGTCTGCCAAAAGCTCGTGCGCATGCGTGCTGGCACCCACAATGCAAGGTGCCCTGCCACCATTGCTCATGTGCGTGCAATACCCCTGCCCTGCCCCCTGACCTGCACTGCACAGGCGTGCGCCTCCCAGCTGATTTTTCGGCCCATTTGAGGCCGTTTCGCCCTCCCAGAGACTTGAGGGAAGCCCCTGCGGCCGCGGGAGGCCGAAAAATGGGCCTTCCGGAAATACTGGAAATACCCATTTTCAGCCTTCGGAGGGCCTCTGGAGCACGGAGGCGGCCATTTTCACCCTCCTGGAGGCTCGAGGGAAGCCTCCGGAAACTCTGGAGGCTGAAAACAGGCCCGTTTCAGCCCTTCCGGCATTTCTGGAAGGCCCGGTTTTTTTGGCCTTCCGAGGTCCCCCCCTTACCTGCACTGCGCCTCATAGCTGATTTTTGGCTGGTTTGAGGCCTTTTTCAGCCTCCCAGAGGCTTGGGGGGGAAAAAGCCTCTGCAGGCCGAATAATAGGCCCATTTTGTCACTTCCGGTATTTACAGAAAGTGACAAAATGGGCCTATTTGACCTGCAGAGGCTTTTTTTCAAGCCTCCAGGAGGCCGAAAAAGGAGTCAAACCAGCCGAAAATCAGCTGGGAGGCGTAGACATGTACAGTGAAGTAAGTTTGGCCGGGGCTCACGTGCCTGTACAAATGGCTGTGCGTGCCACCTTTGCTGGTCCGAAGGTCGCAAAAGGGAATCGCGTGACCCCGGGGTGGGGGGGGATGCTACAACTGTCGTAAGTACGAGTCAGTTGCCAAGCAACCTCAATTTTAATCACGTGGACCCCCGGCTAATGGTTGCAGGTGTGCCAAAATGGTCACGGCCCTTTTTCTGTTTCGTCGTAACCTTGAATGGTCAGTAAACGGAATGATTGTAAGTCGAGGGCTACCCGTATTCCTCTCGATGGGATATTATTGTGAGAGAAACAAGGTAGATTTCTCAGCCCTTTTTCGACCCAGGGGATTTTAGGTTCTTTCTTAATTCTGACACGGTGAATCCATTTGGCTCTTAAGCCTTGGAAAAAATCCCCCCCCCCAAAAAATGGAATAAAAGTAGTTCCATCTGAGCTTCCCCCCGGACCCCCTTTTCTCTGCACCCCAAGTTCTCCTTGGGTTTAGGAAGGAAGTGAGAATAAATCAAAGACTCCCAAGTTCCCAAGAAATTCAGTGAAGCTTAATAGTTGAATAAAACAGGATGATTCCCAAAGACCGGACGCGTGTGTGTGTGTGTGTGTATGTCTGTGTGTGTTAAAGGCAGATTCCTTCAGCTGTGGGATCCAGGGGTTGGTGCTGGGTGTGAAACCTAGGGATCTCAGAGGGATCCCAGCCCAAGGATCCAAGATTTTGGGCTGCCGATTTGTTTGGAAAAAAACCAGGAATGTGTGAATTGCAGGTAATCCTCCGTTGGGAGTTGAAGTCCACAAGGCTTAATACTTCCAAGGTTGGACACCTTTGGTCGAAGTTCTCCTGCTTGAGGTTGGACTACAAGACCTCCAGGTGCCCTTCCAACTCTTGCTATTCCATTTCCGGCTTGGGGGGGGTAAGAGCCAAGTTGATGGACGTGGAACGACGGCTCTCATTTCTTCATATTTCTCTCTTTGCTTCCTTGAAGCACACCAAGGTTCACCCCTAATTTGTCACTGTGGCGGTTGTGCTTTTCCACACCTGCAGAACCCACCTGTGGGTTCTGTCTGATGAGTGTTTTCCAAAATAAACGAATGGAGTCGCCCTACCCGGAAAACCTTTCGCAGGTGGCTGTGCGCTCGCTTTTATTTCCCAAGGAAAACGTCCGACCTCGCTAATGTTTTCTGCTTAAAAATGGTTTTGTTTGAGAATGTTTGCAGCTGGGGTGTGTGTGAAAATATGGGGTCCTTGGTGTTCTCCCAGCTTGGGGTGTTTTTGTGTGTGTGTGTGTGTAGGTGCTTTCTGATACTACTAGTGCTAGAAGAGGGAGGAGAGGAAGAAGGGAAAGCAGAAGAGGAGGAAGAAAGAAGAGGAGGGGAAGAGGAAGATGAAACGAGAGGGGGAGAGGAAGGAGGAGCAGGAGGAGGAAAAAAACGAGAGGAAGATGAAACAAGAGGGGGAAGAGGAGGGAGAAGCGGAAGAGGAGAGGAAGAAGAGGAAACAACAGGAGGGGGGAAGACGGAGAAGAGGAGAGAGAAGAAGAGGAGGAAAAGAAGAGGACGACCACCATGGAGTCCTTGATGCTCTCTGAGCTTGGTGGTTTCCTTGCAGAC